ATTTATTATAATATTATCGTGTCACTGCACTATTGACAGTCGTCATTTGTTGTACCGTCCGTTTCAAATAACTTACTCCGATGTGATATCGATTTACACTCTCAAACGTTTATGATTGTCTACTTGACTTGCATGCGCTTTGAACCATGTTTTCTAACACCTTTGTGTCATAACATAAAAAGTACTCGGTTTGTTGCCGCACATTGGAAACGCCTTGGCGGTGTCAATAACATAGTTTATCTTAATCTAATCGGTTCATAAAAATCATTGTTTCATTGTATTCCAATTGTTTAGACTTTTGAGGCGTAGATTAATATAGTCCGGTTAAAACTTGTCATTGAACCTAACATTATCACCTTGAGATTGTTTCTATATTAATTTGTTTTTTCGTTGGTCGTCAACTTGAAACATTTTTAACAATATCGTGTTAACAGTTCATTTTACACAAGTTTTAAGTGTTCACGGTTATGCGAACACAGAGATAGATAGAATTTAATAACTTAGAGCACCGAACAGCGTCGCCTAATTCGCTAAATGATCTTACGTCACGTGCTATGGTTACAAAAAACAGCTTACTCTGATAATAATTGCATCTGGGCGATATGATGTATGTCACGAAGATTGCTCTCATAGCGACCTGGACGTTCAGTACATACTTCATCGAACGTGAATGTCTATCCGCTTGCAGCGGTCCAGTGTCCGTTTTTATAAAATTCTCCAACGAACGAAACATCAGTTGATTTATCGTGTGTAGCACAGGGGAAGGGCGCAACATGGCCGTAAAAGAGATAAAACAGGACCGTACTAATATGAAATATTGTTCTTTTTAACATTTTGAGAAGAAACGATACGTGACAGCTGGACCGTGCAGGAATAAAGCTATCGTATGGTATATTATTGTATTATTGGTAACGACGCAGGAGGACGCGGGGAAAGTGAAAATCATCGCGCGAAATAGTCATGATGACAATTAATGTAATCATCTAAACACGAGTCGCTAATTTGTTTTACCGATTACTGTCTAGTGGGCAGTTTGCCAGAGAGATAACGTATGCAGGTTAAGATCGAAAATCTTACCAAACGACTTGTATATGATAATTACATCTTCAAACGGCGTCAAACTAGTAGCAGTCTAATTCAGCACATCAAACAGTAAATTATTCTACTTGAAAATAGTATTTTAAACTGTTCAAGTTGAACTAATATGGAAATTTCAATAAATTAAAATTGTCGTTTACGAAGATTTCCTAGCAACGCAAACGATTACCAAGTGATCGCTGTTGTTTTAATTTTAAAATACCGTTACAGTATAGTCTTGATTTGATTAGGTACAACAATACCAAACAAGTAGAACTTTGTGTCAATATAATATGGTCTAAAACATCTTAATATCTTAACTTCATAGTTTCAAACACGATTCTTTTTAATAATATTTTCTATATTTATCTTTAATTTAAATATTAAGTGCAGATAATGATTTTAAGAATTTTGTATAGCCTTAAATAACATTATTGTCTTAATATTAAATGCGTTTCTCAAGCTATTAGACATTTTGCTTGTAGTACTTGCTGAATCGTACGGTGGTATCGTACTATTACTTAATGATTTTTTAATGGCAAAACTATGCTCTTTTATTAGGGTAAAATCCACTGTTAAAAAATGGTAAACATTCAAGATAAAATCGTCCGATTTTTTCTCTCTTACAGTCAATAATAACGACCCTCTTACTATCCAAACTCGCCTCATTACTCATTTTTAATTATTCTTTGTTAGACGATATTTTAAACCTTTTAAACTTTTTAAAAGCATTTTTCATCCATGGAATTTCATTTGTTAGTTGTTGATATTTTATGGTTCAAGTTGCTTGTATTTTATGAACAATTATCGTTTAACAAAGTTTATTAAAATATCCGGGACCAAGATCAATGATTGGCCGGAAAAAGAATTTAATTCAAATACATAGAATCTAATTGCTTGCTTAGCTCATTTTTTCTATTTATTTTCGTGTACAACGAAACAAACGCTATTATAAATATTCATTGAAAGCTTTGACCATTATCAGACACATTCCATTATAATCTAACTGATATTTTTCAAGATTCTCAAGGATCCTTATTATCATAATGATATTTCTAAAACTAGCAGCATGTCTGAAATTATACATAATTATATAATGCTATCTCATGACATTGATACACGTATAGTATAAAGTATTCTCTAATAGAATACGTCTATCTGCACTTAAATAGTATTCAATAACTGATCGTCTTGTCAAAACGAACCGGCCAATGGAATGTTTACTACTGATACTTTTTATGATTTTATAATAATCAATAGAAGGTAATAGTTCCATTATATCAATTAACATTGTTAGCTGGAAATAGCTCTAACTAGATGATAAAAAAAAAACTTCAATTTTAATCTGGTAAAACGTGTTGTTCACATTTAATCAGCGGCAAAAATTGAAAAAAATAAATAAATATTAATTTTAGATTATTGAAAAAAAAAATCTCAAATTTACACTACCGTAAAAAAAGTATTTTCAACGTCTTTTTCAAATGTTTTTAATAAACACTATTCTAATGAAATTTATATCGGCTGTGCTTGAGACAATAACCTTTCTTTTGCGCATATTTATGTTGTCATAAGGATGAAAAACGAGTGGTAAGAGTATTAAACGGGGTTCTTGTACTTTATATTGTCGTAGAATCTGGGCTGTTAAGAAACATGTTTTTTTAAAAAACCTGTTTCAAACATTATTTAATACCCTAAAGCATTTAAAATTTCCTATAAGACTAATGTAAATTTTTCGTAAAAATCCGGCGTAGGATAGTAATTGATTATTAATTCAGATAAAAATATGTTAAAATGATTACAGAATTTTCCAATATATACTGCGTAATAAAAAGCAATAATTTAACAATGCTTTATAATTTTAGTAAAATTTAAAAAAAAATAGTAATTGCAAAATAACACATATGCAAATTATTGTAAAATTTAACAGATTCGCATTGCAATGTGTTTTTTATGATAGTGATGTTAAGCACTGTCAGACATCACCTATATTTGTCTCCATTATGTCGCATCCCAACTGAGCTGAGTTTTATATTTTAAACAATCATTTTTTTATGTCAAGTGAGGGTATTAATTGCACGATTATATAAAGACATGATCATTTATAAATGTTAGCCAAGTTTAAAAATATTATTACCCCGCTGACTGATTGCGTATGAGTGAATCTCGAAAAATTAAGAGTTATGTATAAGTTGATCCTCTCATTGTTATATTAAGTACAAAAATAATATTTTATTTCAAATGTCCCATATAATAATATTTAATATTCTAAAATATTAAGTTGTACACAAAACAGGCATCCAGTACCTATTAAAATTTAACATCACATAACAATGTATTTAAGTTATTTACCGATTAACATGGAGTTTATTTTACGTAAAAAATATAAACTTTTAATCCTGATAGATGAATATAAATTTAGCTTTATGAAATGTTACAACTATTGACTTGTTGTGTAAAAAGTTGTAAATTTGATTTCAAAATTAGCTTAAGTAATAAAATTTTAAAAAGTAACACTTACTATAAGCTTCAGAAAATTTATGAAAATATTATGAGGCAAACATTAAGCATTAGTTAAAAAAGAAAACCCCGACAGTTATTTTTGCAAAGTCTTCAAGTTGTTTTGTAACGATCTGAAAAATGCGTTTAAATTTCTACTTTGCTTTTAGTAAATATGTTGACAATAATTGGACTAAATTAAATTTTATATTAATTTAACTTGAATATTTGTATACCAAAATAATAAAAATGGTGTCACCCGGGTAACGTAAATAGGCTAAAGTATGAAAAATTATAAATTTTTATTCATGGAATCAATATATAAATATAGTTTCAATACGGTAATGTTTAGAAATCAATTAAATTAATTCATAAAATGAGACTCAAGAAATAATTCACCGACATTGTCCCCATTTAGCAAAAAATGTCTACTTCGCTGTTTTTATTACATTATAGCTTTGGTGAGGAATCACGTTGAATCTATAAATGATATTTGATTCCGTGACTGACAAAGAATAACAATATCACTTTCTTTACTGTTATTATAAATTTTACTATAAACACCCTGAACACGAAACAGAAGTGGCAGTTCACATTTGGAAGTAGCGTGTTCGTTTGTGTTCTTTTACATAAGAATGAGTCATTGTTATGCTTTTACTCGACATGCCGTCGCCGATAAACACCAGCCGGCCGACTTGGAGGGAAATAAAATGCAGCGATGATGTTGACACAACCGACCTATGTGTATACATGTACTCGTATAGAAAAAGAAAAACCACTGTTGTCACTACTACTGATCAGTTGTATCTCATCGTCGAACCCTCTCACGCTGTCAATATTTGTCCACCCTCGCGCGTCTACCCTGACGGCTTTAATCCTTTTATGAAATTAACCATTAAACTGAAATGCTCACAAGAGGCGGGGGCTTAGAAATGCTTTTTTCGGCGAACATGTAAGAAATGTGTACTCGAACGAACCTGTATACTGAATTTATTACTTAACGCGACCTCCTCCACAAATGTCATTTTCCATTGAGCTACACGTGACAGTCGCTTAGCTGTTTTGACAATTTTCGTTTTATTTTATTGGAAGTATTATGTTGGCCAATAAGTAATTAGTTAGTATGCCGTACTGATACTATCGCAGTATTTATCACGATAAGAATTTCTAATATAAATCCAAAGTTGAAATGGCCATTCATTTGCAACGTAATCCGCTGTCTTCTTAATCCGGATTTATTCTTGCGAAACTCACTGAAATAGAAAATACGTTTCAAAATACAAATTCGGCTTCACTCTTGCAGTGAAAATGTGCATTTTATAAAATACTCTACAAAGTGAAATAGTCCCCTATCTTGCCGACCCCTATTTTGTATTTTAATTTTGTTTTTATCTCGTTTAATTTCTTAAACAATTTCATTGTTGCAGTGTTGAAGGATGAATTTAAGATCGAACCTAAAGACACTAAAGTGGCTCAAGGACAAACAGCCCTGTTAGAATGCAGTCCGCCCAAAGGACACCCGGACCCTGTTGTGGTGTGGAAAAAAGATGGAGATGACGTTCACATTGAGTCGTCCACCAGGTAATTTCTAATCGTGTTATTAATGCAATGACGTTAATTATTCTGTTCCCGTGAAAGTTTAAACGTTATTTTTAATATTTTCTAGCCTTATCCTATTATAACTGTTATTATTGATTTTATAACGATATTGTTTATTTAGGATGCGAATCGTAGACGGAGGCAATCTGATGATAACAAACGTTCAACAGGATGACAGCGGTGAATATCTATGCGTCGCCCAGAATATTGTTGCGATGAGAGAGAGTGTTTCAGCCAAACTCACCGTAAACGGTATTTTAAATTTAATTCGATTAATATAAATTATCGTTATGTGCTTATATCTTTCTGACAAATCGACATCAGCAATGTTGCATTAATAATAAAATGTATTTTGTATGTACAAACTAAGCCTATATAGAATCTCAGACAAGTAAATACATACAAATATAAGTAAATACATATTATAATATTAATTTTCGAGAAGGCAGTTTCCCATGTTTGTATTAATTCAATTGGGTTCTAAGATGATACTAAGTATGAGAAAATAGTTAGAAAGTCCCGGGGCGCCTGTCGGTCGTTGAAATGTACAAAATTATTGGATAGAAACACAACTATTTCTACCCAGTTTTGTATTTAATTTAGTACGGTATAAATCTATTTTCCATTCCGAATGCACTACCATATTTATGGATTTAATAATAAACGTTCGGTATTTGTGTGTGTGTATCAGGAAATTCGATTATACGGGGTGCAAATATCCTATAGGCTTTGCTGAAGTAAATAAAAACGCATCCGGAATAACAAATATCTTGAAGACTACCTGTCGTCGTGGAGTTTGTATGAAAATCGAGTTTTTCTTCTCATTTACGTACCTGTAGTGCGAATACTTCATTTTATTTCTTCGCATTATAATATATTAAAGGGCTTTTAGCCTGACAATATATTTTCTACACTATCTATTAATATAAGTAGTAGTCTCATAGGTGTCACGTAGCCAAAGCAGAACTTTCTATGAGCACGTTCACTGTCCGGTCCACTACAAAAATATACAAACATATATTACTATTATATGGACTAAGTGAATTTTTTTCAGCGCGTCAACGGATTTTCCCTCTTTACAATTCCCGAGCGGAATCCATTAAGAACCAATTGAAAGTTTTTTCACGGCCTAATCGAAATAAATAGCGAATCGGATTTCCACTTCTGGTTACGCCGACTCGATTTTGATAGATGAGCCATTAGGCTTAAGGAACTATTTCAATGGACACATTTCAACTGGGTGTTTAATGTTCCGGAAACAGAGATTCGATTTTATTTAATTTTTTTTTTTATCAGACGCTCTTATTATTATTCTACCACTCTTATTACAATATTTCTCCTCATTTTCTTCCCTGTACGTGCGCACACTATTTTGTTTCATTTATACAATTTTTTTCCCTCGTGGATACAACAATAGATATACACATGTCATCAGCAGCGGGTCATTCGATAACGACGGTCGACATTCATGTGCACACGCGCTTTTGTAAAAATATTATGTCGCCGCCAGCAGTAACAATACATTTAGAAAGTCATTAATCCACCAAAACATAGACACGAGGGGGAACATTACTTTATTTTACCCGTTGTATTTACAGTTGCTAGTCGTCCCCGGGCATATTGTATTCATACCTGCTGGCAATAGGTATTCTTATTTGTTAAAAAATCAAAACAAACGACATTTTTTTTAACTTTATCGGTTTACATAAATCACACTATCATTAGATTATACGGGATTTAAATCAATATTTTATTTTGGTCATGTACTATGCAGCCGTGTAAATATAAAAAAATTTAGAGAAAAACGGCATTAGCCAATTGAATTATACCAACACAAATGTCAACTGTTTAAACAATTTTAACCTATTGAATAGGACAAAACCCTACGCTATTCAGAGGCGTCATTCCAAATTATACTAGACTGGGGAAAATTTTTGACCAGCCCATTATTTCACAAAGACTTTCCCTCCGCTCGTGATTTATTTTCCATAATATAAATTAATTTTACATTAAAAATAAAAGTTCTATGATTTTTCTTTTTTACAAATTTAATATAAATAAAGTATAATTTTTCAATTTTTATGCTAGTTTGAAGAATCTTATTATGTAATAAAACTTTGAAAAATTAGCCAATGCTGGAGAAATTACTTAATGACGTTCGATTTTCAATTTTTTTTTTTTTCTAATGAAAGAACTCGACGACGTTATTTTAGAAAAATTGTTTGCGAAGATGTGAAAATTATTTTTAGCACACTCTGACCGTTTAAAAATTTCTATCAAAAACGCTCATTGTCGCCAACGTTTTTTGATTTAAATTCTGAAATATTTACTAGGCTTGTCCAGAGACACTTTAAATGTACACTGAAAAATTCGTTGAAATCTATTCATTTTTCACCGAGATAAAGTTTTATTTCTAAGTTCTTACGCATTAATGATTATTAATTTTTTTCGTCTATCTGTTGTTTGGAATAATAATTAGTAAATTATTTTGTTGTCATATTGTTATTTTTTTAATTTACAAGTCGAAATAATTTTTTAGTAAACTGCTTTTGAAATTATACTTTTTTTACACAACACATATCGTGGCCGGCGTAGCCAATTGCTCCAATCGGATTCAGTGACTTATTTATAGGGACAGCCTGAAGGATCTAACGCACATACAGGTCATGAGGCCTGCAGAGCACTGCGTCTGGGGCTGATCCCTAGCTAGGCGAAATCTAGTGGAGTTTACATTAAAAAAAAAAAACATTAATACAAAAAACATGTATTTTGATGTATTAAATTTTAAAAAAAGGAAATATCAAAAAATAGATTCAAGTTTGAAATTTGCAATTTCAAAAACATTTTTATCAACTATTTTTTGTACACAAATTCTCAAGTTGCCTCACCCGCCTAAATGACGTCCCTGCGATACTTATTTATATAAATTGTATGCTTTTAATTTGACTCAGTTCATAATTTCTCATTTTATTTTGTTGCTTTAACATAATAAATCCGGTTACTTCGCTTTTACCGAAACACTCGTAAACACCTTTAGACTATAAAATAAGAACAATTCGTTTTGAACTTAGTATAGTAGTTACAGGTCTATGCAATTTATAAGTTTTAAAATGTCTAAATCTTAATTATATTCGACTCGTTTGCTTTATACGCAGTAAAACATAACCCCTTAAAATTAACGGCTGTACTAACAATTATCCCTTTGGAACCCCAAAAGTTTAAATCTACTGCCTTGAACACATTTGATAGTTATTATGTTACAATATAGCAGTAGGCACTCTGTTATTATACGTTTAATGCGCCCTGCAGACATCCGACAAGATAAGTCTTCTTGGTTGTAATAGGTATGGTAGTTGTTGTCGACTCTGGCAAACTACCTTAACTTTCAAATAAGTATTTTCTATGCATGTTATTAATGTTATCAATGTTATTGATAAATTAACTTTCTTAAAACAACTCGTAGTAAATTACGTAGCAATTAATAATGAAATTAATTTATTAGTGACGTGTGTAAAAAATTACTTGTACCCGAATTAATGACATTAAATCAAACGATCATAACGATTACTTCTATTATTTTAACTACTACAGAACATTTATTAGCATTATGAATTTATTTACAGTCAAACCATTTATGATTTCTGAGCCAAAAGATGTAACGGTTCTCACTGGGCAAACCGCAGAATTCGAGTGTAAAGTTGGTGGCGACCCCAACCCTAATATATACTGGGAACGAGAAGGCAGCAAAATGCCATTTGGCCGAGCACAAATTTTAGACAATAAATCGCTAAGGATAATTAACGTAATGGCCCATGACGAAGGACTATATGTGTGCAACGCTGAGAACGACGTGGGCACCGAAAAGGTTAAAGCCACGTTAACCGTACACTGTAAGTAAAACTCTATTCCATAAACCGGAATGTATAATTCTTCATAAAAACGAAATAATAATCTTCCTTGTGTTTTCGGTAAAAATTGGACAAATAAAGTGTGTTTCCTCAAATAACATTTAAATTTGAAATTTAACTACTTCATAAAATTCTGCAGCGTTTGGTTTTTAATTAAAATTTTTTTTTACTTTTTAGCCCCTCCTACGTTTGTGACCAGGCCAAAAGATCAAAAAATAGGACTTAATGGTATCGCAACTTTCGACTGCGCTGCTCAGGGTAATCCACCACCTTCTGTGTTCTGGACTCGAGAGGGGTCTCAAGTACTTATGTTTCCTGGAAATGCATACGGACACTTCCATGTCACTCAAGAAGGAACCCTACGAATTCAAGGCGCACAAAAAGAGGATGCTGGATTTTTAGTGTGCTCTGGCTTATCCGTGGCTGGTTCAACAACTTATAGAGCCTATTTACAGGTAAAGACTGCCTCCTATAAACTTTCCTGGTAGAATTGATTATTTTAGAATCTAAAGTAATCTTAAATTGAGATTATTAATCAAATTTCTTGTCTTTTTTTTTTTAGGTGACTTCTGTACAAGACGTTCCTCCACCGGTAGTTGACATAGGTCCTACCAATCAAACATTAGCTACTAGATCTACTGCTACGTTACCCTGTCAAGCATCTGGTATCCCATTACCGACAGTTAAATGGTACAGAAATGGTAATCATTTGTCTCCCGGTGATCCCAGAGTGACTATAACATCTTCAGGAACGTTACAAATAGATGGTAAGTTTTGATAAATAATTTTCTAAAATTTAGAAAATATTTATTTACATTTAATATATATGAATATATTACAGTAGAATAATTAAATTGTGTGCTAATTGAATGAACATAAGTTTTTTCTTTGAATAATAAATAAAATGCATTTTCTTTTATAATTTTTATTTTATTATCGTACACTTTCAAAATTTAATTATATCAATAATTAAATGAAGGCCTTAATTTCTTTAAATAAAATCTTTTGAAGTATTTCTCTGAACTTTTTTTTTTTTTCAGAACTCGAGGTATCCGATTCTGGACTTTATACTTGTACCGCATCATCTGAAAGTGGAGAAACATCGTGGTCGGCTTCATTAAGTGTTGAAGAATCTCCTGGTTCTCGTCTTCATCGGGCACCAGATCCTGCCATGTTTCCAGCTGCTCCCTCAGTGCCAACTATAGTAAATGTCACTCGAAATTCTGTTACAGTCACGTGGAAACCACCAACTCCACATTTAGGCGCATCTCCAATTATCGGATACACATTAGAATACTACAGTTCAGATTTACAGACAGGATGGGTAGTTGCAGCACATCGCATATCTACCAATATTATGGTGGTATGTGTAGAGAATCGAGTAATAATTTAAGAATGCAACTGAAGTTATTTAATTTGTATGATTCTTTTTCGCAGGTTGATAATCTAAAGCCGGATACCACCTATGTGTTCATGGTGAGAGCAGAGAACTCTCATGGGTTAAGCGTACCTAGTGCGTTATCTGCTGTAGTTAAAACCGGCGGCTCTAATGCTGTTATTACACAACAATCTTTGGACGAGGCAAGAGAAAAACTTAGTAATAAAGTGATAGATTTCAAAGAACTGTTCTCTATATCTTCAACATCGGTTCGAATTATGTGGGAGGTAAATATTGTATAATTATTATCTAATATATTTAATATTATACATTAAATTTTTTTAAATGTAACATACTAAAATATTTTTTTAATTTCAGGTTCTCAATAGTCCAGAATGGGTGGAAGGTGTTTATGTACGTTTCAGAGAACTTTCAGGTGGTTCACAAACTTATAACATGATAACAGTTATGATGAATAATGGTGAACCAAAATCATACACTCTAGCTAACCTTCGAAAATTCACTAAGTATGATTTCTTCTTAGTACCATTTTTCAAGACTGTTGAAGGCCAACCATCTAACTCCATGGTTGTACAAACTCATGAAGACAGTATGTACTAGCAGTTTGGTTTTTGATACTTATACAATAATAATCATTTAATATTTGTTATATAATTTTAAGTTTTGAATTTTAAACTTGAACTATTTGTTATTGTAATTGTAGTACCATCAGCAGCTCCAGAAGATATTCAAGCTGGAATGATAAATGCTACATCAGCTTTTATAAAATGGAATGCTCCACCCCCACAACATATAAATGGTGTTTTATTGGGGTATAAAGTAAGTAATTTATATTTATTCATTTTTTAATATATTTTAAAAATGTATTTTTATATCATATTATTGTATAGATTCAAGTGAAAAACAATAATGCTTCGAAACCTATGGTACAAGAAAACCTAAACGCTTCTGCTACCTACATCTTATTAAATTTAACTGTAGGTGGAAGCTTTACGGCTAGGGTACAAGCATACACTCGAAGTGGTTATGGTCCCTATAGTGCTCCTGTTCCAATCATTATGGATCCAGCATATCCATCAAGAGCTTACTCAAATAATAACAATGGTGAAGCGTGGATTATTATTTTATTAGCAGTGTTGGTAGTTATGCTTGCATGTGTAATTGTCACTGTAATATATTTAAAACGTAAACAAAATGCTGGAAAACAACTTGGCCATTTTAATGGTAAGTTCTCTTCAATGATTTTAGATTTCTAAACATACTACTACAGAAATTTCATTTTATTTATTACTTTATAGTTCCTGTAGTTAGTGGAGACCTATCACAATTAAGTATGTTGAGTGGTGGCAAAGAAGCATTATGGATTGATCGTGGGTGGCGTAACACAGAAAAAGACCCTGAATCAAAATTGCTCAATGGTGGCATTGGTCGTTGTGAACCATGTGCTGATTATGCTGAAGTTGATACCAGAAATTTATCTACTTTTTATAATCCACGTAAAGATCACATTTCTAATCCGACACCATATGCTACAACCACACTACTTAATCGTGGAGATGATTGCAATGTAAATAATTAATCCCCACATATAATATATGACATTAATATTTGTTGTATCATTTTAGGAATCTACACATCTATTTGGAGCTGCAAGTAGCTCATCTGAAACTAAAACCCTTAGTTCTAATGGCTCTTGTCATGATCAAAATATGTCTTCTAACCACTATTTAGGTGAATATAAATTAATTATAAATGGTTTTACATTTTAACATTTTAATAAATTTATTTCTTGCGTTAGATGAAACAACCGATTTCAACAATCATAAAAGAAAACCTCCTATATATCCTGTCAATCAGCCACCACCTAACTGGAATGAATTTCTGCCACCGCCCCCACAACATCCTCCATCAGATGTCATTAGAAAAACTTCTCAGGTAGATTTTAATTATATTTCTTAGCTTAAAAACTTTATTTTACAACACATATTTTGCTTTAGTCAAATGGAGGAAGTCCTCAAGCCAGTCGTCGTATACACACTGGTAGTTTCCCAAAACCATCACATATGCAGACCAGTAAATCTTTGGCGGGTAGCTGTAATGGTTATACACCTGCTTGGATATATACTGGTCAAAGTAATGAACATAGATTTAACCCACCACCATCTACACAACCACCACCGGTAAGATAAAAATTCTTACATATGAAAAAATAACAACATACATAAATTTTTAATATTTCTTTTAAGGTGCCTGGATCTCATCCCTCTATGTGTAATATTTCCTCTTGTCAAGGAATTGACAGGTCCAACAAATATGGTTCAAAGAACCATATGCATTCTGACTATGACTATGAGAGTGCTTCTCTTCTTTATGGTCATGTCAATGCTATGCATCATGTTAATGGAAGTAAACGGTCGCCAGATGAAATAAATACATGCTGTTCAGAGGGCAATAGCATTGATCGTTGTGTTCAATCTAACTTACCTGGTTTAGTGTACAAACATCATTCAGGTAAATTTCAATTGTTTTAAATAATTTGAAGATTTCAATGAAAATGTGAAGAGTTTTAAGTTAATACTGAGAATCTATTCATTTTAATGACAAAATGATCATAAAAAAAAACTTCATCCTAATATAATATTAATAGTTGTTATTCGTATGAATGTATAGAACAATGGCGAGGAAATAATGGATGGTGTGACAATGGTGACGATGGTCCTGGTGGAGGAGATGATAAAGGAAGTTGTAGCAGTGGATGTTCTTGTAGCGAATCATCATGCCTTTATGCTGAAGCAGATATTCAATGCAATGGTGCTCGAAAATAAATGCATAATTATGCTTTGTTACACTGATCTAAGTTATTATACAACAGAAGATGTTATAGTTATTATATGCCACCAAATGTCTTCTTTTTGAATTTGTTATAAAATACCTTTAACTTGACCTAATAACTTTTTAAAAATAAATGAGTTATAATATTGTACTCATTATTTGAGATTTATATTAGTGTTCATATTGTTACTAAGTATACTACTTTTGTAAAAATTTTGTATTTACTTAATACTTGTGAGCTATTTTACTGAAACGTTTGAAGATCAAAACTTTTTTTAGATATTGTAAATAATTATTACTTATTGTTATTTAATTTTGTATACTTTGGTATTTTATGATATAGTTCCTTTGTTTGTTTTTATTTATGACATTGTTGTGATAGATTCTATTATTATTTTTATTAAAAAGTAGATTTTTTTATAATTTGTTGATCCGACATCACATTAACAAAACTGTTCATCTGTCCATTTTAGAGGGACTCTTTACTGAATCTCATTTTCAAATATGCTTTTTATTAAGTATTCTAATAATTATATTTAACATAAATTTGACAATCTATGTAGTATGGATTGTTTAAAAGATAATTACTACAGTAATACTTTTTTATATGATGGTAAAAATTAAATATTTAAATGATTATATTTTTTTGAAAAAACAAATAAAAGAACAGTTATTATTGCTAAGTCATCTGATTAATATTAAATTATGTATAGATTATTGTGTTTTAAGAAGCTTAGTTTTTTACACTCCTCGAATTTTTGTGTAAATATTATTTTTGTTAAAGCCCATAATAACAATAAAAATCTTCATTTTTTACTGTGATAATTTAACCTATTAATTTATAAGTTGTTTTATATGTGTATGTTAGAATTTCAGAACTGATTACTGAACTATACATACAAGAACAATTTATAATTTTTCCGTATTAAAGGAGAGAGTTATTTTAAGATAATAAAAACTTATATTAATGTATAGATTTTGCATTTTAAACTAAAAGAACTACATATTTGTGTGAATGTATATAAATACTATTATTGTTAAATTGTATATCATTAATAACGCCTTGAATGTAGATAAAAGTCACTTATAATTGTAGTATTAATTAATTTAATTAAAAGAAATAATTAAATTAATCTGATTTTAATTTTTTAGCTCGACTACATTAATAAGTAGGAATAATCAATAATTTAATCTTAAAAATTATACCTATCTTATTAGTATAAATTTTTAATAATTGATTTCGCATGTAATAGAATTGCTGCAAATGTAGAATAATGGAATAGTTGAAAATGTGTTGTTTTAATTGCATTTTATTAACGTGTAATTTTCCGTGATATAATAAAAATTGATCACTTTTATCCCTAAAAATACATGATTAATGAATGGAGTTTAACACGAGGCCTTCTTCAAAAATAAGCATCTGTTTTTAATAGATATTCATTTGCAGATATCTCATTTTCAGATTAGAAAAATAATTTACAGTTATTCATCATATAAGGTGACAGCGATGTCATAAAAAACTAAAAAGTGAAAAATAAATATAGTTAAAAAAAAACTAAAAAAACACTATTTTAAACTTTTTTAATACTAGACACTTGATTTATCTTAAAATAAAAATTATTTTAAGTAATTTAAAGTTTCATATATTTCTCGAATTATTAATTATTTTTATAATTCATCCCTCATAACTTGTATTAACACATTTTAATACATGTAATAACTAATACATACAAGGTGGCCCACCACTCACTGACAACTTAAATAACTTTTGATCCAGTTAATATTTTTAGCTGATTTTTTTTTTAAATAATAGTTATACGTTAAGTCTATAGGTATATCTTAATAATTCATTTTTTTACATTTTATTAAAAATATTAATTATTTTTAAATTTTAAATAAAATGTAAAAAAAAAATCTAAGATAGCTATTTTGTAGAGTAGAATTTAAGAAAAATTTTAGTAAAAAAATATCTTATTAATATTGAGTAGTAAATATTCTGTAGCGTTTTGAAGTTTGTGAAAATTTGAATTTTCATGTATTATTTTATGGTATTAAACATTTAAATACGTANATTTTACGGTATTAAACATTGAAATACGTATTGAGAAAAGGACAGAAGAAAACGCTATCTTTTCATAATTACTGTGTATACATATGATGATAATGTGTATACATTACAAACTTGGCACNTATTTTTAATAAAATGTAAAAAATTAATTATTAAGATATACCTATAGACTTAACGTATAACTATTATTTAAAAAAAAAATCAGCTAAAAATATTAACTGGATCAAAAGTTATTTAAGTTGTCAGTGAGTGGTGGGCTACCCTGTATACTCAATAAAATGATGTCCCTAAAACAGCGTTCCTCTATTAGATAAAAATAATAATAATACCCTTTTACCTAAAATTCTACTACCCTCTCACGCATTCTATAACATTTCCACAAAATATATTCATATCACATTGATAAATCAAAACATATTTTAAGAATCTTGCCAGAGATCGCTAAACTACTTTTACGGACTATAAAAAGATCATTTTTCCAAAGAAAATCTATTCGCTCTTTGTTACAATTCTATTACAAATAAACGTCGTTGTACAATCCATTTTCAGTAGCTGGAACTTGGAATAATTCTTATACATCTTATTTTCGACTAAACACTTGACACAAACTTATTAACCTACAAAAAATATTTTCATTTTGAATCCCTCTTGTGGGCAGGTAAATAGTTAGATTTATAAAAAAAACCAAATGATAAGTAAAGACATCAAGCATCTATAAATAAAAAAAATTTACTGATCCATACATTTTCCAAAAAGTTATAGCATTATTAAGTTAAAAATATAAAAAAAAATTATTTTACAAAAATCGTAAATTTTTATTAACTTTGATGTCTATTTCACCACGAAGACAAGTCCAGAGGTCAAATGTTTTTTTTCAAATTAAAGTATATTACATTAGCTTTAATTTAAGGTATATATAAAAGTGTCAGACCTTCCGGAATCCTTTCAAAAGTTAAGTTGAAAAAGTACATTTTTTGTAAAAAAGTTGTCATATTGAATCCCCTCCTTTATGCAGATTTAGGGTCAGATTTATTTATTAAGTTAAAGACATCATACATCCATAAAAAAAAGAATTATATTGATCCATTCATCTTTCAAAAAGTTATAGAATTTTAACCAGTTATTTATTTGTTTAACATTATTATTTTCTATAAGCTTTTATAAAATTGTTCTATTTTGTATTAACAGTACGTAATTAACATGTGCTACCATAGTTTCGAATGTTTTTAATTCAAAACAAATACTTTCATTACTTTTAAGTCTACTTTAAAATGTTTTATTAATTTAAATCTTAAAAAAGATAAAAAATACAATGAGCTTGAAAAAAAGTAACAGTTATTCTGACATAATTGGCAATGCAACATTACAGTGCTTGACTAGTGGCATTAACTATCCTATTGGAGAGACTGAGGTAGATTTTTTCTTTAGGAAATAAACACAATTTAAGTGTTAAGATGAACTTATCAAAAATACATATATTTTTATATGAAAATAATAAATATATTAACTTTAAGCCATCTTAACTTTGTTTTATATTTTACAATATACTTTATTTTTCTTTAAAATGGATAAATTGATATATTATAACTCTTCAGTTTGTTATTGGACGTTCTCTTGCCTGTTCACTTGTAATTGAAGAAAAATCTATAGCACGACGACATTGTTTTATAAATAAATCCAATGGCCTATATCTTATTTCTCACAAAGTAAGACTTAAAATTTTTATTGCATGTTTATATTAATTTAGCTATCAAAGAGAATAATTAATTCTAAATTGATCAACAATATCTGTACTATAGGGAACAGGTAATGAAACTTATGTAAATTGTGTGCAAATTCCTAATAACCAAAATGATTATCAAGTTTTAAATCATGGAGATGTTATTTCCTTTGCAGATGGGAGTGGAAGTTATAAATATCTATACAGAATTGTTTTACAAACAAATACAGATATAAAATTGAAGTAAGATTATTCTTAAGACATCACGCGTGTAAGTAATTTGTAGAATATGGATAAACAATACACCAATATAATCAATTTAATATATTTATTATAAATACTATATCTAAATCAAAATTATCTGAAAAATATTGTATTAGTTCATTCTTTTAATATGTCAGTTATTGTTATTATAAACTTTCTAATCGCTTAACATGATAATTACAAGGATTATTTGTTTATAAAACTTTAAATATAGATTTTACATTTAATATTGTTAAAAAATGAAAAAAATTATTTCTTTTTAAATTTTAACTTTTAAACTGTGACACGACTTACGTCGCCAAAAATATGGTCGACACTGGTTTTGAGGGTAGTGACCCGTGGGCCGTTTATTAAATGAGCGACAACAGATTATTTTAACATAAATAAAACAAACCGATATGATAAACACAGTAATAATAATCTTCGGATAATATCGCGGCACTTTCGCTGGCGTCGACGACGCGATGTCCGGCGTGATCTGTGGGCGACAAAAGGTTAGCAGCGTTGATGGCGACGTAAGCAAATGCAGATCGGTTTGTTGACGTTGTCTTTTTCACAACGGGAGGAAGACATTTGCAACCATTTGCGGCGGGTCGTCGTCGGCCGTGCGGCATTTGCTGGACTTTGCACCGTAGCGTATAACCAAGCGGTGTTGGTCAGTCAAATACTCATAAAATAGGGCGACGGCTGATAAAGGTGGCACGAGTCGCGGGGCATCGTGTATGACGAAGCGACGCGGGCCGTGTCAAATATGCTTTGCCCAGAAAAAATATTTAAAAAAACTTGCATTCATGGTAAAATGCTTTTTTGCAAAACTCAGAATTATGCTTAAAATATTTCAGTCGTATATACCCTATTCTTTAAAATTACTCTGCTATTTGTGTTTAATTTTTATAAAGTTAGATGTTTAAATTAATTGCATTTATTTTTCAGACGAAATAATGAAGTATATGGTGAAGAATATGAATCTAGTAAAAGTCAATCTTATGTTGACAATATTGTAAGTTTTAATTCTGTGGATGATCTTTTTTTTCTACAAATCATTTCTTTAAATGAATACAAAAATTATATATTTATTTTTAATTTTTACTTATGATACGACCCTATTTGGGTACATATCTCATATGCCTGTTAACAGTAACCCAACGTTTTAATTAGTACATATCCCATTAGAAAAAACTAATTAAAGTATAATGGAATCAAATAATAATGTTTATTAATAATAAAATAATAATCTATGGATTCAAGATATGTTGAGAATGCCCATCGGGGAGATGACAATGTGCAATATACATCATGAGAATTATAATTTTTAAATCACAATTAAATAATAATAATAAGTTCAAATAATATTAATTAGATGTTAAACATTCATATAGTAGGTCTCAACTGCTTGTTGCACTACATTTTCACAAACAGTTTTCTGTAAGAATGTGTAACATTGTCAGCGGGTCCCTGTATATCTATTTGTAATAAGCATAAATGCTGACCAAGCTGTTAAATGTTATTAACTGAACTAAGATTTTTGCACAAAATGTGACCGTATCACTTATTTAAATCCAATTTTTTAATTATTAGTTGACTTATTTTAGCTGAAAAGTGAAAAAGCATTAATGAAGCGTATTCTAATTGCTAAATTAGATAAATTTAATGAAATAATTAATAAAGAATCAAAAAAAGTTAAAAAATTGAAAAAAACTGTTCTAAAAGTAAATATATTTTAAGTAAAAATAACTTAAACTCTGGTTAATACGTATTATATTATTTTCACACAATAATCATTTTTTTTATTAACATTTACTATAATTAAAAACATATATATAGAATGTATTAGTTTTTAAATTAGTTCTAAAATCATGTTTTATTAACCTATATTTTTGTATTAAATCATATTAAAAAAATTTTTGTCTGCAGCATAAACTCGCCAATAATGAATTAACAAAAAAGAATTTAGATTACCAAAATACTTTATAAATTCAACAAGATGATTATATAAGTATATATATTGTTATTAACTTACTTTATTTAATTTTACACTTGTTTAAGCAAAGTCACATGATATTCTTAGTATATAACATGAAATATACTGTGTCTTAATCTAGACTTATTTATTAGTATTTATTATTAAATAACTCCATTTATTTATTTTTTTGATGGAGTTCACGTAATGGGGTATAAATTAATTTTGGGCTTATATATTACTATTGTATTAAATTGAACATTAGAAACATTGATAACAATATCATGTCCATACATTTTTGTTTATAAAACATTACATTTTTTTATATTACAACAATTATAATTCAAATATCTAAGAAAAATATAATTTATAATGCATTGTCATGTGTGATCTTAATTGGTTTTTATAAATATTTTAGAAACATCTTCATCACGTTTTAAAAATAAACAAATCTTATTCCTTTTATTAAATATTTTGATAAGAAAAAATATTAATTAAAAAATAAAACACCTATGGATTTAAGACATTTTTGAAAAAATTAATTTATCTTATTTTTCCTAAACTTTCAATTGTATTAAGGCTAAATTAAGTGTTAAATTACATTAAAAAGAGGTATTTATCAAATTATCATTTGTAATTCTATTTTCTAGATAAAATTTTTAAGTTAAACTTTGTTAAGTCATTTAATAGCTTCAACATACTTTAATTATTATCTTTTTTTTTTTTGAGAAGTTAATTTTTTTTTCTAGAACAAATATCAAAAATTGAAGAAACAATCAAAGAAAAAGTTTATAGTGTTCTAGAAAGTGATTTTCAATGTTCAATTTGTAATGAATTAATGGTTAAGGTATTATTTTTACATTTAAATCCATTAATAGTGGAAATATAACACGTCATCATGTTAAAAGTTCTTAGCAAATTTATTATGTTACTTTGATTAAAAATGAAAATAAAATGCAATTTAAGTAAAATGAAAAATATCACTATGTCATTGTCTATATATTATTATTTTATAATTTAATAACATTTTTTATCTAAAATTTAAATAAGTTTTTAAATTTTGTTTTTGATAAATTAGCTTCTAAGAAACTGAAAAAAAATCACATACTTCATAATTATACCAACAAAATTATTTTATTTTAGAATTTGGGTTTGAAGTTTAAATAAAACATATTTTATCTCAAAATGTTAGTTCAATAAAACTTGAATTTTACGCATCCATAAATTAGATTTAAAAAATGATTTTAAATATCTCATTATCATTGGGAAATAAATAAAATTTAGTCATAAATTGTGAAAATGAATATTTTATATAAAATTTAATATGTAAATTTGTTTTTTTTTTAGGCGTGTACAATTAATTGCAGCCATACATTTTGTGAAATTTATTTAAATACTTGGTTGAGAGAAAGTAATGTGTGTCCTCTTTGTCGAACTTTAGTTCAAACCAAAACTCTTTGTCTATCTATGGATAACTTTATTACTAATATTTGTAATCTTCTTGGGAATGCAATAAAAGAACATCGGGAAAAAGCACAAGAAAGTAAGTATATTTGAACATTTATTAACTTATATTTATTGTTATAACTATTTTTAGAATTGACAGTTAATGTTCCACGAGTACCACAAACTGCTTGGAGAGGTCGTAGAAGAAGAGGTATAACTCAACGTCGAAATATATAACCTGCACATGTTCAATGAGAAATAGTGTAAAGAATTCATGAAGTTATGTTTTGATAAATACCTGAATTTTTGAATAATGTAATACATTTTAAACTTTCCAAAAGAAAAATTACTTTTTACTCTTTCATATTTTTAGAAAAATGAACAAAATATAATTAAATAATTATAATTATTCATGTGAATTTTGTAAATAATTTTAGTTTGTTTTTGTACAACTTAGTTTAATAAACTCATATTACATATGTAATATTTAAACTTTGAATTTAAAATTGTTAAATTTTATATAGAATTAAGGTAATTTACCTTATTGTTAAAAATAAAATATTTTCTATACATTATCTCACCTATTGTATTTTAAATTTTAATTAAAAGATATTTGATACCAAGCAAAATGATAGGTAATTTTTTAACAACTATGAGCACAATAACATATTATTTAATGTTTTTAATACAAATATAAATAAGCATAAGTATTTTAATTATATTTTACATGAACTCTATTAAATAATAAAATAAAACCTTGGGAGCTAGAGCTATTGGTTGGTACATAAGGATTTTGTTAGCCACCGGGTTCCTACTAAAGCGGTTAGCCCATATGACTAATAATAAAAAATAATAATAAATTTCAATGATAGATTTCTAACCATAAAAAAAGAAAGATTACCATTCATCCAATTAATATGTTTTTTTCTGTATGATATGATTTTCAAATGTATAAATTCATATTTAAATTCTATCTGACGTCCGCAAAATACAAATGTAATAACATTGAACAATAAAATAATTTTACATACAATGAGAAGATATACTCCAAGTCAATCCACGGATTCAACGATTCGACGCACAGTGGGGCAATGAGCTTCAAAAGTTGGCATTAAATCATGGAGTAAAAAAATATATTCCTTAAATTAATATTATTTTTATTTTTGTCCATCAGATATATAAAAAGTCATTTACATAATATTAACATAGGTATTTACTATATACTAAAATCCCAGCCCCTCATTATAGCTTCACCTGAAACAGATTTTACGTTTTTTCTGCTTTGAAATTCCGATTTTTTTTTACTGCGGTCTCCACACAATCTCATATCCGCTATGTTGTATTTCATTCTGCTAATATGTAATTTTGTCAGCGAGTTCCATAAATTCTTGAAATTACATGAATTTGATTATAGGAATGATTCTTAGGAAGGCGTACTTAATATACAGAAATTTACTGAACAGGATCTTTATTTGCGGTATGCTGTGTATACAGTTATGCACCTAAAAATTCTGCTATCATTTTTGGTTTCGAACACTGGTCAAGTCCCTCAATATCTTACCTCTTACTCACAAATATTTTGTTCAAAATCTATTTATGAAACGGGGAAATGTTCAATGAATGCTATGAGCCACTCAGAAATTTCAATCAAACACCTCAAGTTTAGATTAATTTCAAACAATACGACAAAATTTAAAAACTATAATCGAATCATAATAATCATAGACCGTAATATTTATTTAAAAAACCATTATAAATTTTGTAATAATTTTTATTATAAGTAATGTTTCAATAAATAAACCATTACGTTATGATACTAAATTAAGTTCAGAAATATTTTTCGACTTAAAATGTTATCAAAATCGTTTTTAGTTAAAATATAACTGCAAGCGCAACTCGTCAAGATTTTGTCTCGCATCTAGCGGAATAAATATGGTTAGAAGTGTACTTTTGTAGGTATCCGATAAAGACGTTAGGTGCATTTAATCTATACCCGCATTTTATTTCAAAATTTTACTAAACACGTTATATTATTATTGTCATTTATATACATTCTATTATTCTATGTCGTTTCGTGTGTGTGTGTTACGGTACAACGTACAGATCGGGATCGGGAGCAAATGAAAACGGGAAAAAGTGCAACCCCATCCAACAAATACAAACCCGTCCGCGATTCTAGCACAGAGGCTGCAAAAGCGATGTTGGATCGGGAGAAGACGATCTCGGAAAGGAAGTCCAAACGTTTCGAACGTACGTCTCGCTACGGAAACCCAGGGTTTGCTCCGCGATCTAGAGAAGGGGCGACAAAAGCCGGTTATCAAGTAGGTAACAGATTACGGAAAGGGGTATCCGGCTGCGCTGGATACGTTGCGTTGAACAATAGCAGTAGAAATCGGTTGCGCGCCCACCGCGTCAGTTGAAAATAGAGATGGAAAGTTTAGTTCATTTCTGTGAATAGTTCAAATGAACTTTTCTTAAGTTCACTAATTTTATTGATCATGCTGATATTGTTTGGCAATGAACTATTCATTTTATCACTAATAGTACAGCAGTACACAGTCCAGTTGTAGTTCACACTACTTATGGGCAATGAAGTTATAAACTAACCCTTAACCTTAACATCATAAACTAAGAAAAAATTATTATCAATTCCCTCATGGCTCATGCTATCATTATCACCTAATTCAAGATAGATATATTGACCAGTAGTTCTAAGTTAAATCAAAAATCTGATCTAATATTTGTACATTGTATGAATTTATTTTATTGTTAAACAGTTAAAAACCGTGTAACATTTTAACAATATAATTGACACGGTACCGTGTTTCCCCCACATCACGTTATCAACCTAAATGAAAGTGTATCGTGATATGAGTCATAAGTACACGGTGTAAGGTTTGTCTATACGACGCCTTAGGTTCTTATCCCGTACCGTGCCTCTTTTTTTCACATGATTTCCGGTACACTTTCTATAACCGGCCGTCAATCCCCGGCGGCCGTGTTATAATTTATTTGTTATCTAATTGTAAACAGCTATTAACCATTTACAGTATTTCGAACAACGAACCACTGAGAATTTTTAAAGTAGTTCGCAAACTATTTCATTTATACATTGCTACCAATTTTTTTCGAACTGTGAATTGTTAAGATACAGTTACTGAAACAGTTCAGAATAGTTCATCTAAGTGAATAGTTCAAATGAACTATTCGTTCACGAACTTGACATCTCTAGTTGAAAAGTAAGGTTTACGGGGATAAATACATACGGTAATGATAACGGTGGTCAACCGCATTCTTGAAAAAGGCATTGGCGGCATTATGTCGTTTTCGCGGCGGGTATGTGACACGGTCACTCGTATCGAATAGGTAATAGCAGATAATGAAGGGGAATTTCGGATTTAGGCACGTTAATCGAGTTGTTCGTGGAGGGAAATATACAGAATTAGAATACTCACTAAAACCCATTAATATATTATATTGAAGTAGAGTATTCGAAATTAAAGTACGTTGAATGTATTTAATAGAGTAGGCAAAACGAATATACAAGTATTCGCTAAATAAATAAATATATTTAAACTTGTAAATTTGAAAATAATACAATAGTGAATTGTTTGTCGTTCGAACAAAACGAATACGAATCGGAAATTCAATGTATAATAATTGACTAAGAGAGTCGCAGTGTACGATAAATAATATTGTAAACATAGGATATTAGTTTCTTTTAAAAATAAAAAAATTAACGTTTCTTTATTAATTAATGTTTCTTTATTTTCTCGATCACACACATAAAAAAATGTCGTTCACATTGAAGTAATGTAGTACTTGGAATACAAATTGATATAATTATCATTNTGATTAGTAGTTCTTTGATTTTAAAATATAATATATGAATAAATACTAATTATAATTATTAAATTTAGTATGAAATTGATATTCAATAATTTAATATTGTAATTTATACGGAGAAATTATAAAAATAATAAAGAAGTTATATTTTGTTTTACTTTTACGTGTATAAAAATTTAAAGGGCCTGATACAATATTTTTCAATAAAAACTGTTTGCTACTATAAATAAATGCACAGGACTACAAAGAACTTTCATCAGAAGCAAAAATATACTTTTCTAAATCAACTTCTCACGATGTTTTCAAATGTGCAATTAGACTTTTTCTATCACTTCTAAGTTTTAATATTATTAAAAAATAATATTTAAATATAAAAAAAAAATTATTAAGAACAAAAAAAAATTGTTTTAAATTAATACTGATTTTGATTATTAATATGTTAAAAATAACATATTTAACCTATTTTTTTAATCCTTTAAAGTTGATTTTTGTGAAAGTTTATAATAAAAAAAAATTTATTTATTTTACCATAACTTTTACCTCAATTGGTAAGTTTGACATTGACATCATTAAATAGAAAATGTTATAACAATTAAAAAAATTGTATCGTTAAGATCAATATGCAGTCAGAAAGTTTTATAATTACTATTTATAGTAAATTTATCAGAGTAGCTCAATATTTTGTTGCATTTTTATCGTAATAGATAACTTAAATAAGAGTAATAGTAATGATTTCCTTATTATTTTACAAAAATCGTAAATTTTTATTAACTTTGATGTCTATTTCACCACGAAGACAAGTCCAGAGGTCAAATGTTTTTTTTGATATTAATGTATATTACATAAGCTTTTAATTAAGGTATATATTAAAGTGTCAGCCTTTCCGGAACATTTTCAAAAGTTAAGTTGAAAAAGTTAATTTTTTGTAAAAAAGTTGTCAATTTAAATACCCTCCTGTGGGCAGATAAAGGGTCAAATTGACATAAAAAATATACCAAATGATAGGTAAAGACATCAAGCATCTATAAAAAAATTTTATATTGATATGTTTATTTTTGAAAAAGTTACGGCAGTTTTAAGTAAAAAAAATTTCGAAAATTTCGAAAATTAGCGATTTTTAAATTTGTAATTTTTTTGGAGGTTTGCCCCATTTACGGGGAACGAGGGATTTTTTTTCAATTTTTAAGGATAATGTCTTCGACTAGATACGATTTGTGATCTTTTGACTTATCGTTGAAAGAAATCCGTTCGGTGAGAGCTGAGAAAAAGTGTTAACAGGCACAAATAAAAAAAAAAAAACACATCATAGTAAAATCAATACCTTCTCAGCTTCGCATCGAAGCTAATAGCCGTGTTTAACATATGACTGATAAGTTGAAATAAAGACTATTTTTTAATAATTAGTTATAATATCAAAACCTAGAAGTGGTAGAAAAGTCTAATTTCAGATTTGAAAACAGTGCGAAAAGTTGATTTAAAAAAGTATATTTTTGATTTCAATGAAAGTTTCTTGTAATCCAATATAATGATTTATAAGTAAAAAAAAAAAATTCTTATTAAGTATTGCATCACGCCCTTTAACTTTTTATAATTAAACACTATATACAGATTTACATGGAAGCGT